CCCCCCTCCCCTCCCCTCGGCCTCGATCTTCATCCTTCTCCTATTTTCACGTGACAAAATGGGCGCGAATCTTTTCTCTGATTGAGTACATCTGTCCGTACTGTCAATCTCGAAATGTTCCTTTCAAATCGTGTGTGCTGTCTCTCTTTACTTTTCGTCCTTGTTCTCTTGCCTGCAGCAGCATCGCGTAAACGAATTCCCGAACGAACCACACACAATCGTGTCGCCCCTCGAGATACTTTAGCGACTAAAAACTTTTGTATCGTGAGCAAAACTAAAAGGAAAAAACTGAGAGGAAGAAAAGCAGAAGAAAAGAAAGAAATTATATTAGGACGGCTGGAGAAAAAAAAAAATTCAAAGCAATCGCAGAAAGTCAATCCGCGGAAATAGAAACGCACTATATCCACATATACACGCATCCATGTGTGCACACTCCATCAACCATCTGAAAAGAAGTCCTTTGTCCACCCACAGCTAATCCTACAAAGTGTCGGAATATTTTTCGAATCGGCTTTTTTCTGAACCGTTTTACCCAATCACGCGAAGCAACAACGGTCGAATTACAGAATTTTTAGATAAGCCAGCGCACGATTCATACTCACATAGAATTCGTGAAAATTCTGTGATCTTTATCATTTATGTTCTCCCTTTGTAAGTGATATTTAACGAACGTAAAGGAAAAAATAAAAAAATAAAAAAAAGAAATATGCGGACACGGTATTAGCATGTAATTTTAGAGCGTAAATTTTCCGTGAATCATCGCCTGCCTGCGCACGCTGACTAATGAAAAGGAAGAGGAAGACCGAAAAACAAAAGCAGAAGAATAGGAAGAAGAAGAACGGGAAGAACATAAACAAGCAAAAAGTATGTAAAATCTAGGTATCTCCGATCTACTAAGAGCCTCCGTTTCTTCATTTTTGTATGCTTCTTTAAGACTGTCTGATACAGGAAAAAAGGATAAATAAATGTGTACCAATCTCTGAATAAAAAAAATGTCTCGTTTTTGTCTATTTTAGAAAATCTCTTAATTAATTAACTTCTATATCTAGTTTGTCAAAATGTTTCTAAACGTTTCTACGTTTCCAACTATGGCTGCTATATGTAAACTAGTTTGACCAACATTGTCAGTAGCTTTAGCATCAGCTCCCAAATCGATCAATCGTTTTACAACGGATATGTGACCCCCTTTAACTGCTTCGTGAAGAGGAGTAGATCCTGAGGAATCACGCACGTTCAAAAAATTCGTATTAAGCGAGACAAGACGATTGACTAAACTCTCATGGCCATGGAATGCTGAGTGTTCATAAAATTCAGAATTATGATTCACAATTATGACTAATTATATTAATGACTATTTAATGGAGAAATTCTTACCAGCAATGTGCATAACAGTACGGCCATTATTGCTCCGATCGTTAATACTTTCAGCAAACTGACTCACCAACAAATCGAACGCATTTTCATCGCCAGATCGACAAATTAAATGCAACGATGTCCATCCATCTTTATTTCGTAAAAGCGGATTTGCTTTTGCTTCCAAAAGCGCAAGAATGCATTCGTATGCATCATTTCCGGTTTTCGTGCAAGCCAACATGAGTGGTGTCCAATCAGCACGCTTTAATACATCTACATCTGCACCTTTAAACAAGATATCTACAGTAACAACAAAAAAAAAACAGGTAACGTCACACTCGAAAAAATAGATACCTTTTTCAATTAAATATCTGACTATGTCTCTATGAGCAAACTGCGCTGCCTCGTGTAACGGTCTTTTCATATCTTTATTAGCCACATTCACTCTAAAGTCTGGCTTCTGAAAATTCTCGCACAAGTATCGAACAATATTCAAATAACCCTCGCGGGTAGCAACATGCAATGCGGTGTCACCGGAAGTCAAGTGTCGGAAGTAAGTCCAATCTTGAATGTCGTATTTCGATACGAGGACTTCCACTCTTGATAAGTCTCCATTCTGACAAGCGTGCAGGAAGTTTCGTGATAGGTTAGGATCTGTCATATATAAACTTTTATTAACAAACAAATGAAATGTGCATGAAATAAAAATGACAGAATGTTTTTGTTCAATGAGAATGCTCGGTAAAACCTATTTAAGAAACAATATATTTAGACACACGTAGAAATACTTGAAATAATGCCGGTCGACAATTGGTAAAGAATCACAAAAATATATAAGCATAGAACAAGTACAGAATAGATACATTATTCGATAGATTTTTTTAGCTCACATTTTGAGAGTCATCTGTAGCAAAAACGAGATATACGAATAGACCAAGCATTTTATGGGATTTCGTGTCCCATACTCTGAAATACCGACATTGCAAAAAATCACTGCAATACAAGTTAGTCAACGTTTCTATCACCAATAGTGCTGTAGTGCAATACTTGCCTAAATCGGTACGACAGGATGTGACACGAAAATGATAAAGTAGTCCTAGGATCCCGAAATCATAGGACAAAAAAATACATTGTACGGTATATACCTTCATATACCTCATCTATAGTGACAGGTCTGTATCCACATTTTCTTCTGAATGTTAGCATCATTCTCAATATTACCGATTGAAACAAATTATCAAGTGACCAAGTCCATCTGCACAGAGTTCGTCTGCGGACAACGCTATCTATTATCGGTATAAGTAGATTTAAGCGCGGGAGATGGTTTCATTTGCAAATACTTTCAATTTCAACAAATTATATACATTTAAAAGTTTAGATATCATACATTTATATTATATATTATATAGTAAATAAAAAAAATGATTTTCTATAACTTTTTAAGAAATATGTAGATTGATATACGAAGCTGCTTATTTAGATTTACGTAATACGTAAACCGAGCATAGAACTATCTTCAGAATAAAATTAATCGTGATTCATAGAAATCTTACTAACATAAGTCATAATTTAATTAGAGGAAACATGTAAGAGATGTTCACTTAAAAATAAAACTTCAGTAAAACTAACTGATCAAACTGATCATTTTTAATCTTTTTATGAAAATTTTGTTCACACTGCTGTATTTTTGAAGAGATTATGAAATATATTTAGAAAGGCAATTTTGTTTTTTTCCATAGAATCTCCATAACCGTTATGTCGACGCAAGATAACAATGCAAACAATTAACCACCAATAAAGCGTTTCCGGGCTGGTTGTGCAACCGAGTATATAGGAACGCGATGAGCATCGTGCATCGCGAGAAAATCGCTTCGCACGAACATTCAAGGTTCGATCAAAACCATCCACCTTTCGCTTTGATATAATTGCCAGACTGAAGATTCCTTCTCTTGTTATTTGTCATTTGCATTACGCAGCTATTGATGGCCTTGCGGCAAGCTGTATATGTACGAATTAATTTAATCGATCACCGTTCATTATATGTTATAATAAAAATATATCAATGTCAGCGTGAACAGAATTCCTGTTTTCCAAGTAAAATTGAATTAAATGCACTTTTCTTAATTTAATACTTTTGAATGTGCAACTACACAGGTGTAGATGAATACTCGCCGTTTGATTATTACGCTGGCTCGTAAAGCATTCGAATGATGGCAGTACAAGCCGTGCCTTTGTTAGCCATAATATCGGCCAACATGGGTATAATTCACCCCACGGTTTCAACAATCGATTGTCAATTTGCATACGATGAATCTCCTTTCCATTCAATAACGGTGTAAAATTAATTCATGCAATAGGTAAAGATTAATGTTACTGTTGTTATACTTCGTCGAAGCTTTATCTAACAATGTCAATCTACTTAATCATTTTTCGAACTCGTCAATCTATTAGCTGTTTTGTCGAGTTAAATGATCAGAATTTCTATTATCTTTTTATTCATTCCGGAGACACTTTTTTCCAGTATTGTATTCTATCTGTAGACGATATTGGCCAAAGATGTTTTGCTTACGACAAACGTTCACGGATTGAAAGAAGTCATCAACAAGTAAAGAACCGGCCGTACAGACCTGTAATAACGCCTCATTTTCCCCAGAGTGAATAACTATGATTTGATGCGAAATTGAATCTTTAATTGCGCGCATCCCATACAACGATGATCAACTGGCGCCAGTCAGAAAATAAGAATAAAGTAAAGTAACGCTCACACTTTCGTAGTGACACGCAAATCTCTTCTCTGATCGGTTTTCTTGCGTCTTCTTTCTCGCATGTATTTGCCGCGGACACGGAAACGCTCACTTCCTATTATTCGAAAATAACAATTTGTGTCGAGGTTGCCGCTTGATTATCGGTTTGCGTGGAATATACTCGACGAGAAGAAGCTCCTCGTATTTTCACACAGAAATTCCCAGCCGATTAATAAAACTAGATTCTTGAGCACGCTTGTTCTTTATCAATTTAACAACATAATTATTATTGCATCCGATATTAAACATTCTTACTACTTGTTTATCTTATTGTGTACAATATGGACGTCAAAATCAAGATTCCAATCACGATGTTACACGATCGCATCGATTAAACTGTCGCGTGCGTAACAAGATGAACTCGCCGTGGTAATTCTCTCTTTAACGAGTTTCCTGTTTCTCGTAAATATCCGTTTACGTTCGTGTGAATCGGTACACGATCGATCGAATTAGTCAGGCCGAATGTTTGATCGATCCACCTCGACATTGACCTTAAACGTTCATCTCAGTCAGTCGTGTCCACACGCGAGAAAGAAAAATCGTCAGTCGACGATCAAGGCGGCACTAGGTTGCGTAACGCGCGAGATTTCTTAGGAATTAAGAAACGATAAGCGTGATCAGCGTACTTGTCCTGGCGATTGCGGCCTTTGCTGATGAAACGCCATTACGAGTAAATCACCTTCGAACAGCGGTGCTCGCGATGCGACAGTAGAAAAATCCCGCCTCTCGTCAGACGATTTTACGTTTAACCTTGTGAGAAGGCCGAACCATGTTAATGATTATTCGTAAAAAGAACACGATGTCGGTGGATTTTTAAGACACGCGAGAGGCTTGTGCATTCAAAGATTCTTCCGTTACTCCCATAATTTCACAAAGAATTTCGATGA